GACAGGTTATTAGAACACAGTGTTCTTGCAGTGAGGGAGTACTTGAGTAGAGGCCCAATGTCTGTCTGCTCCCTTAATACTTAACATATAAATATATGTACATAGATCTATGTCCCTATTGTTATAAATATATTTACATATGTATATGCCTGTATTTAGAGCTCTATAAGTGTCCTTTGCCTCTTAGTTCTTTCCTCTATTCCTCTTACTTTCTTTCCTCTTATCCCACTATCATGTCCTACCTTCATTCGGATTTCAGTAATTCCTCTCCACTACATTACCCTTGATGAAGCCCCACCAGGCATCCTACAACCTCTGTGCCATGAATTTTAGATCACTTGTTGTTCCCTTGCTTCTAGGTTTAAGACCCACTTCCTTTCCGCTGCCTCCCCATCTCCCTGTCCCTCAGAAACCATTGGTCCCATTGTTTTCTCCTCCGGATTGTTTATCCCACCTATCTTATCTAGATAGACATACAGAAACAATAATAAGCACAGAAACAAGACAAAGCAAAACAAAACAAGAACAACAAAAACCAATAACACACACAAAAAAAGCCTATAAATAGTTCAAGGTCTGTTTGTTGACCTTTAGGAGTGTTTGCCAATTGAGTCTGATGGACTGTCACGCCCTGGCCCCAAGGTCTATCTTTGGTATTCCCCAGGGACTTCATTGCTTTGCTCCCCTTGCTGCTGTGTTGCACGCCCTTAGTGTTTCACCCGTGTGGTGGGGTCAGATCAGGCACAATTCCCACACTGTCTCCCCAGTGTTGTCCTCCATAGCACTATGGATCAGTAAGGGACACCGTGTGCCTCATGGTGGGGCCGGCCCTATGGTTCTATCTGTGCACCAGCTGTGCTAAGCAGCAATATTGTCCTCGGGGCTTGGTGAGCCAGGATGTGTTCCACTCTCCTTTCTTCTTCGTTTGCTCATGAATGATGTTCTTGATGTTATCCCACAGTTCATCGTCTTCTGTCTTTAGTATTCAATACAGCAACTCTGTTGTTGAGCTGTTCTCAAAATTCAGGTGAGATAGACTCAAAGTCATATTTTGGCTCTTATGGACTTGTTTTCTTTTTCTTCAGCTTCAACCTGAACTTACATCATGAGCAATTGATGGTCTGTTCCACAGTCAGCCTAGTTTTAGCTGCTCATATTGAACTTCCCCATCCTCTCCTCCCACAGATGTAGTCAGTGTGATGTCTGTGTATTCCATCTGGAGAAATCCATGTGTATAGTCGCTGTTTGTGTTGTTGTAGACTGAGGTGTGTTTGACCCAAGCTATGACATTTTCAACTGCTTCGTATGCATGCATACTCTGCACAATGAGTTAGAAAGACTGAACAAGAATGTACATATTTTTATCAGAGAGTCAGTGAAAAATATAATATAGCATGGACTGCCAGGGAAAAAAATCGATCCTGTTCCTTAAAAGTGAGGGTGGTGAGGTTTTGTCTCATGTACTTTGGACATGTTATCATCAGAGACCAGTCCCTATAAAAGGATATCAGACTTGGTAAAATAGAGGGTCAATGAAAAAGAGAAAGACCCTCAACAAGATGGATTAACAGTGCATCCAGCTCATCAACTGTGTAAGGCAGGGTTCTCTAGAGAAAAAAAAACAGGACACTAATGGTTGTATATATATGAGGATAGATCTATACAGCGAGAAGGGATATAACAGCTAGTTAGTCCATATAGCAGTACAGAGGGCTCAATTCAACTCACTTTTGTGGAACAGTTAATATGCTGAAAGTCCTTTAACTCATGCGGGCCGCCAGTCCAAGATCAAGGAAGCAGACAGTGGAGTGTTGCCTCAAGCAAGACAGACAGAGTCTGCCCACAGGCAGCAGACAGCAGGATGGATCAGCAACAGTCAGTAGCACTGAAGCTTAGCAAAGCAGGCCACAATGGACTCTCAAACTCCAGCGATGCATGGCAACAGGATCCACCAGGCTCAGCTCAAACAATGTATACACCAACAGCATGGTGGAGCAGGCCTAAAGGGAGCCTCAATTGCTAGCCACATGATCCACAGGTTGGCTTGGCCCACGGGTAATGCAGCACACTAGCTAAAGCAGCAGGAACGCTGGTCTGATTACCAGGGAGGAAGAGAGAGATGGGTTGCCTAGCCAGCAGTCTAAAAATCTAGGATATTGTGTTTTCCCTACCTGCACAGCAGTTATTTCAACCATTGGCCACATGTCCTAGCAACCAGACTGGGACCTGGACAGGAAATAGTATATACTTTTGTCACCAATCCCTGCTTGGAATAGGCTATTACCGCATGACCAGCCACTCTTGAAACCACAACAGCTATAACTAATGCACAGAAAATATTATCCATTCTAATACTACCTGACCAACAGAAACAACAGGAAATTTCAGTGCACGTGAGAAAAAAAGAAAAAGTGGCACAAATAAATGGCCAATAAACAGACAAACAGGAGAATTTCCAAATGGCAAAAAGGCAGTAAAGCTACCCATGAGGGCATGCAGAAGAATGGTGTTCAGATGCTTTAAATGGATGGAGGAAATGTTTGACAATGCTGTAAAAGAAAAACAGAACAAGAACACAAGGAAAGCACAAGATCAATATGACAACATAAGTAAAAAATTTGGAATAATTAAAAATTCCAAATAGAAAATGATTTTTTAAAAATTCCAAATCAAAATCCACAACACTAAGATAATAAAAGTGGAAAACACTCTGAAAGATTTAAACAATGTAGACATGGTTTTATGCAGGATTGAACAATGGAAGCCCAAATCAGTGAGCTTGAAGACAAATCTTGCAATACCAAACTACAAAAAGGACGATCTATTTTTTTAAACTCCAAGAAAACCTGCAAATTCTGTGGGACAATAACAAGAGAAACGACATATTTGATAAACATTAGCGAAAAGAAGAAAAACCACAGAAGAAAACAGTCAAAGAAATAATAGAAGACTATTTTCCTAACATCAGGGCCAGACAGAAAATAACCATTCAAGAAACTGAAAGAAGCCCCAACTAGAATTGACCTGGAAAGAAAATCACTACACAGCACAGTCAAGCATTCTAACATCAAATGAAAAGCAAGCATCCTGAGAGCAACTCAGTAAAAACGAAAAATTGCCTAGAAAGGCAAGCCAATAAGAATAAGCTCAAATTTTTTCAGTAGAACCCATACAGACAAGAAGATAATGGAAATGATATTCAAAATACCTTGAAAGGAAAATAAAGATTCGTATACAACAAAACCATCACTCGTTATTGTTAGGTGCTATTCAGTCTGTCCCAGCTCACAGCAATCCCACGCGCCATAGAAAGAACCACTGCCTAGTCCTGTCTGGTCCTTTGCCGGCCTCACAATTGTTCCCATGCTTCAGACCATTGTTGCAGCCACTAGGTAAATCCATCTCCTAGAGGACCTTCCGCTTTCCCATTGCCCTTGTACTTTATCGAGCATGATGTCCTCCAGCAACTGGTCTCTCCTGACAACGTGTCCAAAGTATGTAAGATGAAGTCTGGCCATCATTGCCTCTAAGGAGCACTCTGGACTTCTTCCAAGACAGATTTGTCCTTTTGGTAGTCCATGGTACTTTCAATATTCTTCTCCAGCATCACAATTCATACACATCACTTCTGCCTTATTCAATTGTCTGCCTTATTCAATGTCCAATTTTCACATGCATATGAGACCACTGAAATTACCATGGCTTGGGTCAAGCACACCTTAGTGCTCAAAGTAACATCCTTGACTTGCAATTCTCTCCAGGGGTCTTGTGGAGCAGATTTACCCAAAACAATGTCTTTGGATCTCTTGATGGCTGCTTCCATGACCATTGATTGTGAATTCAAGAAAGACAAAATCCTCGAAAACTTTCATCTTTTCCCCATTCATCATGATGTTATCTATTGGTCCAGTTGTCAGGTGTGATAATTAGGTTTATTGTTCCAACCTGACCAATGGGAACATATGGGATTAATCATGTTGCAATTTGGTTGGAGGGCAAAGAGATACATGGTTCTGCCAGGCCCACCCCCATCTCTCTTGCTCTTCGGTGATCAGACTGGCGTGCTGCTGCTTGAGCTAGTTCTCTGCCTCAACCTGTTCACAACACTACCTGTGGGCCAAGCCAGCCCACGGATTATGTAGCTAAAGCTTGAGGCTCCCCCATACTGCTGGTGCATACATCGTTTGAACTTGTGGGTGGTGGATCCTGTCACTTTGCAGGCCTTGAGTTCAATATCCCATCTGGGCCTACTTCTAAGCTCCAGAGCTACTGACCGTTGCTGACCCACCCTGCTGTTTGCTACCTGCAGACAGATTCTGCCTGCCTTGCCCAAGAGAGGATTCCGCTGTCTGCTTCCTTGACCTGGGACCTAGCAGGCCCCGTTAGTTGAAGGACTTCCAGTATATTAATTGAATTTTTTCATGAGTTGTTTTTCAGTTAAAGATCATCTTTTTGGTTTTCTACTTCTATGTCTTTGCAAAGTTCATTATATTTTACTTTGCCTTCTTTAGCTTCCCTTTGAGATTTTTGTTTAAAACTTTGACTTCATCGTTTCTTCGATTTGCCTTAGCTACTCTACAATTAAGAGCAAGTTTTAGAGTCTTTTCTGACATCCACTTTGGCCTTTTCTTTCTTTCTTGTCTTTTTAATGACCTTTTGCTTTCTTCATGAATGATGTTCTTGATGTCCTCCCACAGCTCATCAAGTCTTCTGTCATTAGTGTTAAATGCAGGACATCTGTTCTTGAGATGTTCTCGAAATTCAGGTGAGATAGACTCAAGGTCATTTTTCAGCTCATGCGGGCCAGTTTTAATTTTCTTCAACTTAAAAAAAAACCTTAGTGAGACTAGCGTGACGTGTCCCGATGTCCCACTCCTCCCCATAACCTCAGAAATTGAAAAAGATGAGGGAGAAACGAACCTAGGAAGAGAAAGAGGAGAAGCGGGGAAGAAAGAAAAGACTGTGACGGTGGAGGTAAAACGTGAGAGAGAAGACAAATCCACAGTACGCTGGTGCTGCTTGGCCCCAGCCTCCTCAGGCCTTTATTATTTCTCTGGGATTAGGACGGCCCATAAATAGGCTCTTCCACAGGCACGGACTCACCGGGTGGGGTGGGGGGCTCGAGGAGGACCAGAAGTGGTCTTCCCCGGCGTGCTGGGTGCCCCAAGGCCGGTGCCACGGCACGCCGGGGGGCCACGTAGCTTCAGATCCGGGTGGGCTTCTTGGGCTCCTTGCTCCTGGCCGGCATGAAGGCGTACAGCTCCTCGATGAGCATCTCCATGCGCGCAGTGACCTCGGTGACCGTGTCGATGACCAGCCTCTGCTGCAGCTTCAGCTTGTTGTTCTCCCACAGGGCGCGGTGCTCCTCCTGGAAGGCGCGGTGCTCCTCGCGCAGAGCGTGCAGCGCCCGGTTCTCCTCCTGCAGCAGCCGGTTCTCCTCGCGCAGCACGTGCAGGTGCTCGTTCTCCTGGCGCAGGGCCTGCAGCGCCTGGTTCATCTCCCGCAGCAGCTGCAGGGACTGGCTGCCCTCGGGCAGGCCCGCGCCGCCCGCGCCGCCCTCCTCCTCCTCCTCCTCCCGGGGGGCGCCGGCCAGGTTGCTGACCATTTCGCGCAGGGCGCGGAGGGTCTTGGCGTCCTCCGGCGGACTCGGGTGGCCTTTGGGGTCCTCGAAGGGCGAGGGGAGGCCGGCGGCCGGGTTGGGCAGCAGCCCGGGGCTGTGGGGCTCCTGGCGGGGCGAGGCGGCCAGCGGCTTGTCGTCGGCCGCCGGGCTCTTGTCATCGCCCGGGCCCCAGAAGGCCTTCCTCTGCTCCAGCAGCTGCTGCAGGGCCCGGTTCTCCTCGCGCAGGAGCTGCAGGGTGCTGCTCTCGGCGGCGCGCGGCGCCGGCACGCCCGCGCCCTCCTTCTTGGCCCCTTCCGGGGCGGGGCTGTCCTTGTGCGCAGGCGCGGACGAGGCCCGGGGCTCGTCGCGGCCGGGCGGTGGCCCGGCGGCCGCCTTGCGCTCCTCCCAGAAGGCCTGCAGGATCTTGTTCTCCTTGCGCAGGACCTTGTTCTCCTCGCGCAGCGCCCGGTTCTCCTCGCGCAGGGACTTGTTCTCCTCCTGCAGCAGGTACTCCTTGGCCAGGCGCTTGTGGTGCAGCTTGTGGTGGAAGGAGGAGGGCGGCGAGAAGTAGGGCGACTGCAGGCGGCAGTTCTCGTTCACCCAGCGGCCGTCCTGGAAGACGAACATCTCGTCGCTGAGCTGCACGCGGGGAGGGTTGTAATCGAGCTCCAGGTCGGCCTGTGAGGTGGGGCGCTCCATGGCGTCCAAGGGGAGCGAGGAGATGCGGTTCAGCGGGTACGAGTGCTGGCTGACGACCCTGCGGCTCACCCTGGGGTGGGTGACGGGCCGCGTGCACCTCGGGATGGTGTACAAGTTGTGGAGTCTCAAGAACGGCTCGGCAATGCCCCGCTGTGGGAGAGAACAAGGAAGCCGAGCGTGAACGAAGGAAGGAGCGGCCACACCCAGCATGGCGGAGGCCCTAAAGTCACCCAGTCAGCAGTGGCCAGGCACCTTGGGCAAGAGGTGACAATGGCAGCAGTGCGTTTAAATCAGAGCCTGCACTGGCCTCAGGGGACCCTGGGTGGCTCATCGAAGCATCCAGCTGCTTACTGGAGAGTTGCCGGTTGGAATCCACCTAGACGCACCTTGGAAGAAAGGCCTAGCGATTGACTTCTAAAAGATCACAGCCGTGGGATCCCTGTGGAGTTCCGGTCTGGCACACAGGGTGTCACCTAATGGCAACAGGTGTTTTGGCCTGGCCCTAGTGGGCACTTTTCCCCTTGACCTCCTTAGACTCCATACAAGAAAATATATCCGCGGGAGGCGCACACCAATTAAAATCTGGCACCAATTTAAAATCAATGAGATATTGAATTCCAGGCCCATCTCGTGCCAGTTTTAGGAACTTAACCAAGCCAGTTGCATGGCTTGTGGTGGTGACAGAGCAGCCCTGTGCTCCACAGGGTTTCCAGTGGCTGAGTTTCTAGAAGTAGATGATTATCAGGTCTTTCTTCCAAGACACCTCCGAGTGGACTCGGACCTCCAGCCATCAATGAGCAGCCCATTCCTACAACTGTGTGTACCACCCAGGGACTGCTGCCCCACCCAAGAAGCCAGACTCACTTGACATTGAGTCAAGCCTGACTCACAGTGACCAGACAGGGTAGAAATGCGCTGTGGATTTCTGAAACAGTAACTCTGTCCGAGTAGAAAGCTTTGTCTTTATCCTGCAGAGCTGGCTAGTGGTTTCGAACTACTGACCTTGCGGTTAGCAGCCCAATGTGCAAACCAAACCACTACATCACCAGGGCCCCTATTTGGGACTACTACAGAAACTTAGGAAAGTTACTGGATCTCCTTGGGCTTCAAGGTCCATCTTTCCAAATGGGATCGTCGCACCTTCTTACAGGCAATTTTAGGATTAGAAAAAGCAATGCATGCAAACACTAAGACTGGTCTCTGATATTCAACTGTCACCAGAGGAGAAACTAACTTGTTTCAATCTGCCGTGGGCCCTGGTGCCCACCTACAGCCCACCTGAACTTCAGGGCAGCAGAGTCACACTTTTGGCCACCCTAATCATGTGTCCCGAAGGGTCTTCTCCCTTGCTCCATTCCAGAGCATCCTCCACGTGTAGCTGCTGCTCAGTCTGTCCTGCCAGAAGCCCCTCAGCATCTGTCCCAGCTCAGTACCAGCCTCACGGCGGAGCCCGGCTGATCACAGGGGAAGAGAAGTGCCGTCAGGAGCATGGCACTGAGCATTGAGAGGCCAGCATGCTGTAAGAAAAAAAAAATGGCAAAGGAAACGAACCCATTGCCATCCAGTTGGTTTAGATGCATGTGACTCCACCACGTGTGTTGTACTGTGCTCCATAGAGTCTTCAGTGGCAGGTTTTGAGGAAGTCAATTGCCAGGCTTTTCTCTGCATGCATTAAACTCTGTCTCTTTGTTAGCAACCAGACATGGATGCTATTTGTTGTACCACCCAGACACTGCAGGTCAGTAGGTCTCCAGGACAATAAGGCCGAAGGGACCAGTGTGCTCAGACACCAGGAGCTATGTGTCTCTGTGCATCAGTAGCTCCGCCTCTAGAATGGAGTTGATGATCCCTAACTCTCAGCTTTGTTGTGAGAATTAAGTGTGATAAAACATTGTACATGCTTAATATGGAGCCTGGCTTCTGGAAAGCATTGGATAAATAATGTCTATTGTAACATCAGTATAACAGCCCCTGTCTGTTGTGTGAAAGATGAAGAAATCAAGTCCCAAGAAATGAGTTAACCTGTCTAGACTAGAACCTGTCTAGACTAGGCTCTAAACCTCATTGCAAGTGGGGCAGGAATGGAACTCAGGGTCCCCCCTCCCCAGGTTCTTTGATTAAGAGTGTGAACACCTGTACTCAGGAGAAGCTGGGAAGCACCATCTCCCCTGGTGGAGAAGCTGTGACTTTCTTAGATGGATCAGGCCACCTACCATTGCTTGGCTTTCTACAAACAATGAGATGCATGGGAACCACCCCAGCGAGCCCCCACAGCTATACCTGTCCACAGGTCAGGAGCCTGAAGCCCACATCAAAGAGAGATGACATCTACAGAGCCTGTCCAAAGAATACCACAATGATGTTTACTTGTGTTTTATTGACTATAGACATTATTTATCCAATGCTTTCCAAGGCATGTAGTTGTGTGAATCATAGCAAACTACGGATAACACTACAAAGAATGAGAATCCAGAACACTTGGCTGTGCTCCTGCGGAACCTGAACACGTGCCAAGCAAGAGGCCACCATCTTAATGGGAAACGGGGGCACTGCATGGTTTAAAACCCAGAAGCGTATGTTTACTTATTTGATGTGTATGCTGAGCAGAGAGTTAAGACACTGGATTATCTAAAGAAGAATGTATCCTCAAGTTTGGAGGAAGATTCATTAACAACCTGTGATATGCAGATGATGCAACCTAGTTTATTGAAAATGAGGACGACTCTGGGCACTTGGTGATGAAGATTAAAGGCGGTAGCCTTCTGTGTGGATTACAACTCACTAGACCAGAATCCTTACAGGTAGGCTAAAAAGTCACATCATGATAAAGATTAAAGTTGTCAAGGATTTCATTTTACTTGGATCTACAATCAATGCTCATTTGAGGCAGAGTTAAATCAAATCACATATTGCATTGGCAAATCTTCTGCACAAAACCAATTTATAACAACAAAACCAAATCCTCTATGTAGTGTTAAAGAGCAGGGACATCACCTCGAGGACGAAGGTGTGCCTGACGCACGTTACAGTATTTTCAGTCGCCTCATGCACATGTGAATGCTGAGTAATGGATAAGGAAGACGGGAAAGTAAGTAATGCATTTGAGTTATGGTGCTGGTGAAGAATGTTGACTGGCTAAAGAACAAATAAATCTGTCTTGAAGAAATTACAACCAGAATGCTCCTTAGAGGCAAGAATGGTGAGGTTTGTCTCACATACTTTGAACATTTTATTAAGGAGGGTCCAGTCTTGGAGCTCTAGTGGTTACTCACTGGGCTGCAGTCCTCATGGTTGGCAGTTCAAAACCACCAGCAGCTCTGAGGGAGAAAGACTGGACTTTCTACTCCCATAAACAGTTACAGGCTCACAAACCCACAGGGGTCGCTATGAATCCGCACTGACTCAATGGCAAGGAGTGGACCCTGGACAAGGGCGCCACGCTTGGTAAAGTAGTTCTCATTGCCATCTACTGTAAGATGCCAACTCCTAAGAGATCCGGTTGAACAGAGTCGAATTGCCCCCGTGAGTTCCAAGACTTTTTAAATCTTGATGAAAGCCCCATTTTTCTCCTGAGGTGGTAAAGTAGATGGTCAGGAAAAAAAGAGGGAAGACCCTCACTTAAACGGATGCACGCCACGGCTACCGCAGTGGGTGCAAACAGCAAGTGTGAGGCTGGCCCGGACCAGGACCAGGCAGTGCTGCTTCTGTCGTGCACAGAGTCACTATGCGCTGCAACTGACTTCAGCGCCCAACAAAGAGGACAGGTAGCCTGCTGGCGATGCCCACCCTCCCCGGGTGGGAGAATGGCCTGAGTAAAAGCCGAGCCCCAAAGACAAGCTGATGCACTCCGTCCAGGCGGCAGCCCCCGTATCGGTCTTCTCGCTTCCCTCCGGTCATTCCGCGGCAAGTGGTCAGAACGACTCTGGCCAAAAGCGCAAACTGACACCCGCTGTGGGGTTTACAGCTGAGGAGTCCAGACTGGGACCCCAAGCTGTGGTTTCTCACCCTGTTTCTGACCCAGGGAGCAGGGTGACACTGAAGAGCTCTCTCATTCTCTCTGTAAACCCAGGTTGTTCACTGGTGGCGGGGAGAAGTCCTGGGTGGTAGGACTAGCAGGTGACTAGTTTGATGGTTTAAAATCACCCAGAGGTAGCTCCCAAGAAAGGGCTGGCCATCTGCTTCCCAGAAGGCATATCCTAGAGACCCCAGTGGAGCACTTGTGCTCGGCACACTAGGGCTGACTGTCAGCTGGGATTGACTCAGCAACTGACCGCGATGATGGCAACAAAAGGGAAGGAGCGAGATGCCGTCATCTCCAAGGCGCCTGCCAGCGGTCAAAGTCAGCGAGATGCGCCTGTACACTGGACGGGCCGACAGGAGTGCCTGCTCAGGTCACAGCACTGTTGTGAGGGCTGAACGAGATCGTGGAGGCAAAACTGTTTTTAAAGGGGCCAAATGCTACTGAAACATGAGGTATTCTTATCCGGCCGAGTGGGTTTCACTGATGATGAAAGGATTCTGAGAGGTAGTCAAAGGGGGTGAACAGGTCTGGAGAAGAGGCCCCAGTGGCAGTGAGGAATTTAAATAAAAGTAAGATCATGATAACTACAGGAAATGACACCAAAAGCACTCTATCCAAGTGCATTTGAAATGCTTCCCAAATGTCAATTCCTCATTTCTCAGGTTCTCTCAAGATTTTAGACAGAGAAGATGAGAAATAAGTCAGCCATCTATTGTGTGTGCGTGCGCATGCGCGCAGAGACATGTCATTTGGCTGATGTATAAAGCTGCTTAGGATTCTTTGAAACCCAAAGAGCTAGATCAAAGACAGACTTATAAGCGATCAGCGATGAAATAAGCACATGCCATTAGCGTTGTGAAGATATGCTTAATCTTCCAGATAGCAGGGATGGAAGGGCATTCTGTAACCAGCTCCTTATTTATTTTCAATAAATTCACCCTCCCTGCTGTTCCTTTCCCGTCTGGGGAAGCAGAGGGCCTCTGCAGGCGGAGCCTGTGGTCACAGCGACAACACGTCAGAGCTGAGAGTCCCGACAGCGTTTTCTTTGTCAACTTCAGAACCCTTGCGGCCAGTTTCTGAAAAGGACCAGCCCAGTGGTGGTGGGGAAACACCAACAGTGGCTCTTGTA